CCCCAGTGTAGTAACGAATTCTGAATTTGAACGTTAATTGAGTGAAATATTAACAATCACCTTGTATTTTTTGACTGTTTGTGATGATCAGTAACACTCTATCCATTCTGGATTTCTCAGTTATAAGATCGAATTATCTCAAAATAGGTGTTAAGCAGTGCCGTACCTACTAGAGGGGGCATAAGCATTGACAACAGAAGATTCAGTAATCTTTGGCATAAGAGAGATATTTTCCCCTGTATGCCGATAGCAAAAAACCACATTTCTTCACGTATTAAGTTTTTATCTTTTCAAGGGTTTTCTGTCGTTGGTCTCTGTATGGAACCATCTTGAAAGCGCACACTGAAATCAATGATAATGTTATAGATTGACTTCATTATTAGCAGTTCTATCTGATGGATGTTATTTCTCCTTACAGTTGAATGAAAATTACGCATATTTCCTTCTTCAATGATCATCAATCTCAGGATCAAATTCATTCAAGAGAGATTCGATTTTTTCAAACAATGCGGTATCAGATTTTGTATCGGCTACATATAAGTGAACCTGCTGATATTTCTGAGAAAAAAATATTTGCAAATATAAAGCCAAGGCACTCTGATGCTCGAAACTATTGTAGTTTCCTATTATATCCAAAATTAAAATATGTTTCGGAATAAAAAATCATATTGTCACGATAAAAACTAAAAATATTTTATCATAGCTACTATACAGAGTGTCCCACTTACCATGCTCACCATGGGTATCTTTCAAACGGTGAGAGATACGAAGTCGGTTGAATGAAACCAAATGTGGACTTTGTCAAGGCCAACTATAATGTGAAAAAATATTATGATAAAATCTATTCGTTTTTGTTTTATACGCAAAAAACAGATTTTGATCATTTTCATGTCTCCTCCGTACCTTCTTTATCTATGAAAATATTCGAATAGGAATTTCACATCCTCATGGCAGTTTTTCAAAGTGATTCCGAAAAAAATATAAAATTAATACCAACTCTTCTAGAATTTGAGATATCAGCACCATCTTTTGTTTTTCAAATGTAGGTCATAGCTCACTATGACTCAGTAACAAATAACTTTTTTTTCTCTAACAGATGATATGTCGCATTAATAGTTTTGTGTTGATAACAACGGAGTTATCGTCATTTATACAAAAACAAAAAAATTATTTGGAAGCCGCCATCTTGAATTCATAAATTTTAACGAAAAAATCATGATCTCCGACCTCAAAAACCCCCACTTACCAATTTTGAATGGAATCGGACCAAATCTTGTCCGCCATCTTAGAGCAGCCATTTTTTTTAATTTCAACAAAAATTCCATAACTCCGATTATCTTGAAATTTGGCTGGTGTTCATAATTTCAGTGACAATACATTATGGATTTTTTGTTAAATTTATAAAAAATGGCTGCTCCAAGATGGCAGGACAAGATTTGGACCGATTTCATTCAAAATTGGTAAGTGAGGGTTTTCGAGGTCGGAGATCATGATTTCTTTGTTAAAATCTATGAATTGAAGATGGCGGCTTCCGAATAATTTTTTGTTTCTGTATATGACGATATCTCCGTTGTTATCAACACAAAACTATTACTGCGACATATCATTTGTATGAGAAAAGAAGGTATTTGTAACTAGGTCATAGTTAACTATGACCTTCATTTGAAAAACTGAAGTTGGTGCTGATATCTCAAATTCTAGAAGAGTTGGTATGAATTTCATATTTTTTTCGAAATCACTCTAAAAAACTGCCATGAGGATGTGGAATTCCTATTTGAATATTTTCATAAATGAAGAAGTTACGGAGGAGACATGAAAATGATCAAAATCTGTTTTTTGCGTATAAAACAAAAACGAATAGATTTTATCAAAATATTTTTTCACATTATAGTTGGCCTTGACAAACTCCACATTTGGTGTCATTCAACCGACTTCGTATCTCTCACCGTTAAAAAGATACTCATGGTGAGCATGGTAAGTGGGACACACACTGTATGTTTCACTCACGTTGGCAGCTCAGTGAACCCGAATTAAATACTCGCATATGGAGTAAAGAGTTGACTATGTCAAAATATTCTAAAAAAATATCGAACAGTCGATAGGACAGAAAAACAGTTTGGATCTGATCAGCCAGCACTCACGATGGTTCATCCCTTGCGTCTTCTAGAGATAATTTTGTAAGTACTTACGTATCGTGCTAGCGGTACACCGAAAATATCAGAAAAAAACCGCATTTCGTATAGAAAGCAAAATTTTTTGCACACTTGTTCTTGATACCCAAATGAACGATTTGCCCCGCAGCACCCATTTTTTTGGGTGTGTGGGTTCGATTTTCAGGGGGTAGGGGGGGTTCATTCCACGATGATTTGAAAAAAATCAAAATGAAGCTATAAAGATGATCCAGATGTCGATTCCATATTAAATTGTCTTGAAGAATATAATGGTGGCACCCTTTCAGCTCTCGGTTCACTGGAAGTGTCTCAAAAAGCTGCCATTTTGGAAAATGGCGCCTGGTATGGTACCATTGAGAAGCTTGCATAATTCGAGCCGAGTGAGGTATGGATTTACATATTTCAGGGGTCTCTGTGTAAGAATTTACCAAAAAATTATCCCAAGGTCACTCCCAAGATTTTCATGAAATGCGGTTTGAAAGGTGTGCGAGTATTTTCAAAATCACATTATGAATCTATATAGGCGCTATTGAAGTGGAGTTTTCTACTAAAATAGCCTCCATTTTGTAATATGACTGCCAGAAAAAAAGTATAATGAAACATATTAAGATGAATGATTCATGAAAAAATTGACATAAATAAGAAAAGAATAATCAAAAACATTGTTGACGTGCAAATATATATGAAATTTATCACGTGGTATGAAAAAAATGAGCAAAATAACAGTTGAATAATCACAATAACTTCGGATACTACTATGTAGAAAATGAATAACATAAAACAATCACAAAGTCATTGCATTTTATGGACAAGTGATAGTTTGGTCAATACATGGATCGATTGTAGGAAAATTATACTGCTAATTTGAATAAGCGCGCCACAGACGAGCTGGAATCTAGTACCTAACCTCTGGCTCACATCCCCTCTTGTTTTCCCCTATCGTCTCTCGCGCTTGTGTCTGCAATTTCCTGGAAATATGTCTCGAATAGTCTGCTGCAGTCAACAGCAAAGCGTGTGTGGATAGAGAAAAAAAGTGTATGATTTGGCCTAGGTTGTGTGGTGTGAATTCGTTGCAGTAGTTTTTCAATTTTCGGTGAGTAGGTACCTACCATATTCCTTTTATTTTTGCTTAAAATGTCCAGGCTCTTGGTAGTTAACTTCATTTTCTTCCTGTTAGTTATATATTTGGACAGAGTGCTTTAAGAATGCCGAAAAACAAACATATTGTAATAGCAGTAACAGACGATCTGGTGAATGTGTCAGAACCAAACTTTAACTGGAACGCTTGCTGTATCTGTCAGGGTGAAGGCAAACTTGTGTGTGCTGCTAATAATCCAGTGGAGGCTAAACGAAACAAGGGGTACCAGACACTTGCAAGTAATCTTGAGCAGCTGAGATCCTATAGTCATTTCAAACTCAAATGTGGACGGAGTATTAACGTACTTGATGAGGGTAATGGAGTGTTGGCTACTTTCATAGCACGAAAAGCAAAGTATCACAAAGCATGTATTCTACCATTGACTGCTAAGTTCAGTTCTCTGCTGAAGAATGTTATGGCACAGGTAGATCAAAATGAGTCCTCGAATAATGATATACATGTTGATGCCGAGGAAGTTCGTCGCACGACTCGATCTAGTTTTGCTGCTGTTACCCTCATGGCTGAATCATGCTTCATTTGTGGAGAGCCAGAAAATGAACAGCAATCACTCCATCGCTGTGAGACTCATCATTTAGATGAAAATATTATGAAGTATGCGAAAGGTACAGGAAATACAGAACTGATAGCTCTACTGGAAACCAGAGGAGATTTAGTCGCTCAGGAGGGAAAGTATCACAAAATTTGTCTGACTCGTCTCTACAGTAAATACTGCCGAGCTAAGTGTACAAGTCCCTCAGAAGAAGAGACACTTCTATGTGAGGGTCTCGCATTCTCTGAACTTTTGGTTTCTATAGAAGGAAAACTTTCGAGGCATGAGTACACATATGTTTTCAAAATGGGAGATTTAAAAAACATGTATGATTCGAGAATTGCACAACTGAATGGAGTATCTAGGGACGATATTTCAGGAGAACATACGACACGCCTCAGAGAGAGAATACTAGCTCACATGCCCTTCTTGAAAGAAGAAAAGTGGGGAAGAGAATATGTTCTCATGATGGAAGGGACAAATCTGATGCACAACTTCTCAAAAGAAGATCAAGACGATGATGCAATTGGATTTCAGAGGTTTGCAAAAAATCTCAGGAGAGTTATGTCTCAGTGCAAGTCGGAATTTGATGGAAGCTTTGCACGAAATTGTGAGGAGAAAAGTGTTCCAGGACCACTGCTGGCCGCTGTCAGTACTTTGTTGTACGGTTCTGGGGTCAGAGCTGAGTGTGGGGCGACCGCCCCTGCTCTCACGATTTCACAGCTAATTTTAGCGAATTTTCATGAAAGCATGCCACGAGGTGAAATTGTTAGACAGAAAAGAGACAGAGAACCTCCATTGACGCTGTACATGGCACTATCTTGCTACGGTAGAAACAGAGATCGAACCTCGATCGACCAGATGCACCGTAAAGGAATTAGTGCCTCGTCGAACAGAGTGATGGAAGTGACAGCGCAGTTGTGTAGAATGGTGGTACAAAGATCAAGGGAAGATAATGTTGTTTGTCCTTCTATTCTGAGGAAAGGCCTGTTTACAATTGCGGCATTAGACAACATAGATTTCAAATCTACGAGCAATACAAGTGCAGGCGACTTTCATGGCACTGGTATCTCCATTTTTTAATGTCGTCGTCGGGGACAATCTCAAGGAGAAATCAGGACATTCGCTACATCCTACAAGGATGTTAGTAAAAAAGGAGACCGTGGAGTGCCAGAGTTACCAGATTTCTATGCTGAGATTCCCGATTGCTCTTGGATGCAGTTTTGAGATAGGTTCTCGTTTGTATCCTTTAGGTAAGTTCAGATTTCTTCTCAATTTTGTTCAATTGTGTTTAACTTCAGTTGATTATAAGCAACAAAATAGTTTCGATTGCTTTCAGGTGATTTTTCAAGACAGTGGCTACAAGAGGCAGAATGGTTGACACATCTTCGGGAACAAAGTGGCAATTTGCACGAGGCCATCACTGTTGCCTGGTCGGCTTATCATGGAAGTCGTTCATCTGATCGATCGCTGTTGAAAGCTATCAATGTCCTCCTACCCCTATTTTTCGAAAAATCCACATCAATTCCAATGCTGAGGCATGGAATGAACATTGTGAGGAATATAACGAAGTATCTGAATGGAGATCAAATACCTGTAATCTGCGTGGACCAGCTTCTCTATGCCCTCATGAAAAAAATTCAGTGGAGTTGGCCTCAGGAATATGGTGAAGATAAGTTTATAGTGCTCCTAGGCCCCTTACACATTGAACAGTGGTTTCTTCGAATATTGGGTCAATTTATGGAGGGCTCTGGTTGGACAACTATAGTTTCACATGCCGGAATAACCACTGCTGGATCAGCAGAAGCTATGATGAAGGTAGGGTGCACGATGAAGCAACAATCTCGGTACTGATCTATCCTTGCATTTGTGCGTTCCAGGTAACTCACATTAAACGGGCAAGGGAAGTTCATCAGATCACTTGCAGCAGTTCTCCACAGTTTGCTTATGGATATATATGAAAATGAAAACCCCGAATGTGAACTACAGGTGGAAGAGTGGATAAAGACGAAATCTCAGAAATGTCCAACATTTTACTTCTGGCTCACTGTCTTGAACCTTGAAATTCTCCTGCTATGTTTTGTGCGATAGTTGAGGCAGGGCGACTTTGATTTATTTAGAGAAACTCTGAAACAAATGGCTCCGTGGTATTTTCTTTTTGACCATCAAAACTACGCTCGGTATCTCACTGTTCACATTCAGGACTTGGAAGAGCTACCCAGCAAAGCCCCTGATATTCATAAAGAATTTTTATTGAGTAAGTATTGTCTCAATATATCGTGATAATTCATTACCTATATCAAGTATGATCGAATTTGTCTGGAATATCTCTTCTCTGTCGTAGAAAAGTTCGTGTTGCCCATAACTGAAAACCCTGATTCTTATCTTGCTATCGATCATGCCCATAAGCAAAATAATGCCAAAGTGAAAGGGAATGGTGGTGCGGTCGGTCTCACTAGTGACCCATCTGCATTGAGACGTTGGACCATCGGAGGACCAGAGATCTGCCGACTTCTGAATGAATTCAACCATTCAGAAGATGCTGACGATGACGAAGTTCCAATCTCGAGGACTCATCATGAACAGACAAAATCTTATCAATCAAGATTTGCCGATCATTTTGCAGCACTCAAGGACGCTTTCTTGACGTACGAGAATCCCTTTTCTGTTCAGGGAACAGAACTTGTCGCCATAGACTCCAGCGTTGTTGTAGGCACTGATGCGGTTCAGACCTTGTACGATGCTGTGGAAAAGAGCGAATCCATGTACAAGTCCTTTGTCGACGAGAGACTGGTCGAGAAGTCGAGATCTCTTTATGATCCAATTCGAAAGTGTATGACTAAAATATTCACACATCAGAAAAAAACAGCAACTTCTCCAATGAAAGCTCTGAAATCGGATGTGCAACTGTACTCACGGCTCTTTATTGTGTGCATTTCACGAGAATTGGACCTTGATATATTTTTCCAGCATGAGAATCAACTGTATCCGCCATCTTTATCGTTGAATGGATCTATGCGGACTGGAAATAAATCTCAGCTCGTAGCAATTCTTGAAAATCTGCTCAAGAAGTTGCCTGAAGTAGACCCACCTCACAGATGTGAAGGATTGATCATAGATGGAGCAGTCTTAGTTCACAATATCAAGCCTCGTCCTGATGTGAAAACCTTCAAGAGCTACGTAGGCCAGCTGATTTCAAATATAGGGTACACTCGAACACAGATGGAAATATTCAGAGTGGATATAGCATGGGATCTGTACTCTTGCTCGAGTCTTAAAGAGGCCACTCGGTCAAGCAGGGGAACAGGAGTGAGGCGTAAGGATCTACCAAACAAAAGTAAACTATAAAAATACTGAATATCTCTTCATCTCTTGTGTGCCCGTGTCTAATTCCACTATAGCACATGTTTTCACAGGTACTCTACTGACTAACTGGGATGACTATTTGAGAAACGATCACAATAAGCAAGAGTTGTTCTCATTTCTTGCCAACGAGATCTTGAAGGAACTCAAGGATGTGGAAGTCGTAACTAATGTCGATGATGTTATACGCTCATCTGAGGGTACACAGTCGTATCTGCAGGGTGTTTCGTGCGCTGCGATGGAAGAAGCAGATGGAAGGTTGATGCTTCATGTGAATGATATGGTGGAGAATGGTATCCGTTGTATAGTTATACGAAGCTCGGATACAGACGTTTTGGTACTGACAGTTTCTCATTACCATGCCCTCCACAGAAAGGGCTTGCGAGAATTGTGGTTACACTTTGGAGCAGGCCTCAAACGAAGGTTCATTAGTGTGCATGGTATCGCTGGTGTTCTTGGGGAGGACACTTCTATCGCACTCAGAGGGTTCCACGCCTTCACTGGATGTGACACGGTATCCTTTTTCGGTTCGAGAGGAAAACAGTCAGCATGGAATGCTTTCTTGAATTGCTCGAAGTAAGTATATTTCCTGGGTGATCTATTGATATGTATTCATCTGTTATATAAGAAACGCTCCATTCCATTCACAGACGCGAAGACATTATATTAGCATTCAAGAAGCTCTCACATCCAATGCTAGAAGATACCATAGACGATGATCTCATCAAGACGTTGGAGAGATTCACGGTATACATGTACGGGATCCGTGACGAGACCTGCTCCGGTGTGAATGAGGCTCGGAAGCACATGTTTGCCACAGAAAACAAACATATTGGTGCAATTCCGCCTTCCCTGGAAGCTTTCGTTCAACATATGAAGAGAGCTGCCTTCCAGAGTGGACATATCTGGGGAAGGGCCCTTGAAAATTCATTACCACCATCCCCTGAAGGGTGGGGATGGAAAAAAGAAGGAGATACCTGGGTTCCGCTTTGGAGTGAGCTTCCCGAGATCTGGTCGGCTTGCAGGGCTCTAGATAAATGTGGCTGCAAGTCTGGATGCGACACAAAACGTTGTTCCTGCCGTAGGAACATATTACCGTGCTACCTGGGATGCACAAGTTGCAAAGGGGAATGTTCTAATAAAAAGTAAGTCGCTTCGAATTATCCAGCGTGAAAGATTATTTCATATCACTGCTTGATGTAGGACCCAAACGCAACTCGAACCCCACTCACACCAAAATGAAGAGGAGGAGGTTGATGGAGGAGTAAATTAGTTGAAACATTGATCAAGGTTTGTATGTTCATCAAAAATAGTTATACCTAAACTAAAATGTTCTTTTTTCTAGATATGACCTGAACATCCACCCTGGATATCAATGTTTTCGCATGTAGGTACTAGAATTTTTGTATTGAAACAATAAAGTCCAAAATTAACAGCATCGAAAAGTGCTCATCAGTTATGTTCAATTTATCATAACCGCTCAGGATTTTTTCACATTCATAAAGTCACTTAGCGAATTTTCAATATTATTGGTGGCCGTGTTGGCGTCCATTTTATAAAATGGCGGATTTTTAATTACATTATGCTCGTCATAGAGCGATGCTTCATCTATGTCGAATATGAAATCTCCATAAGAGAACGTCTCACTTTCATGAAGAATTTGGCTTTATTCTAATTTTCATCATATTCGCATACCTTTTTTCTGAATTTTCTTCGAAATTTTTATACTAAAATACTCTCCACATAATTTTGTTCGTTCAATCATCTTCAGGCATGCTTGATATATGAAAAACCATACCTCACACGCCACGAATCATGCAATCATGTTAATATGGCACGATATCGGACGCCATTTTCCAAAATGGCGGTTTTTGAGGCTTTTCCGATGATCATAGAGCTCAAAGAATCTATTGAATTTATCAAGACAATATCATTTGAAATCGACATCTGGATCATCTCTGTAGCTTTATTCCGATTTCTGAAAAATATATCGTCGAATTAACCCCCCTCTCCCCGAAATTCGGACCCCCAAGCCCAAAAAAGTAGGTGCTGCGGGCCAAATCGTTTATTTAGGTCTACTGAGCATGTGTGCAAATTTGCTTGCTTTCTATACGAAATGCGGTTTTTTTCTGCGTACCTCTAGCACTAAAATGTACGTTTGTTTCGACGCTCGTTGGTCTGAACCACTAATGAAACTATTTTTTCTCAATAAATTGTAGCTGTTCAACGCGAATAACTGTTTTCATTTCTCGGCCTCCCAAGCGAGTTCACCCCTGAGTCACCACCCTGTAGCCATGTGACAAATACCGATGAATATTATTGACATGGAATACATTTTATTTGGAATCAACACTGAGGTTCCGGAGAAATTGTGGCGTCTGCCATGCATATTGTCACGTTGAGATGTATTAGGATTGATAATCATTATCTATAAATTGACAGGAATATTTTTCCAAAGGCATCGAATGTTATGTTTGAGACTCTTGTCCAATAATCTATCAATGAAGTCCGAGTATCATACTATATCAGGAAATGTCTGCCACTTACTGAGAATTTCATAATTCTCATGATAACATTTTTTCCGAGGACTTTATCTCCCAACGATATGAAGATAATATCATAGAATATTATACCATTCAAGAAAATACCGTACTCATATGTTCTTAGAATAGCTTAGAGAGTAGGTGAGCAAGTGGAATCGAACAATTGGTTAATTCCAGAGACTTCAATTATCGCTATCGAATGAATTCCAGATGCAGCTTCTATAAATATCTGAGAATAAATCACGTGTCCAATCCCAATTTTCCCAATCTTTGACCACAGTAGATGGACCTTGTGATCACGGTTTCATTGATGGGCATTTTCAATCACGATTAACTATTTATTTGGCAGCTGGAATCACCCTTTTCCAGTTCTCATTGTCTGAGGAATTCCTGATCGATCAGGAATATCTATCTGTAATTCGTGGTGAGCACTATTTGATTCCTCTGAAGAATTTATACCTCTTTGGAATCTGTGTGGAGAGAAATTCCATTTGTTGACTACCAATTAATCACTACTTTACTTTAGTATAGGTTTTCCAGTATACAGTGCTTTCGTCAAGTACTGAATGAATAAAATTTTCACCAACTCAGCTATTCTTGGGGAATCTCCTGAAAGAAGTCGATTTTTCATTTCAATTAGAAACATTTTCTGAGGGAAGATTGATGAATATTCAGGATCATCGTCGTTCGTGTTATGACGACCAAGATTCTCATTACCATTGAAATACCCTATCTATATATTATTCAATTCTTGAAATCACCATTAAAAGCTGATTTCGAGAATGTATCACACATAATATATGGTTGGTATACAGTGCGTCAATTGAATTCAATACTCTCGTGAATAAGTGCGGACTAATTTTCTTTCATACTCATCATCATTCCTGGAAAATCTTCCTAAGCAGGATGGATTTTTGTGAATCAAATATACATGGTGATCCACGTTTGAGTTGGGACTTCCGCTCCAAATTTTTCAAACGAAACACCGTTCATATCATATTCCTCTTGGAATCTTCATGAGAAGCTGGATCCAGAATTATATCATGTAGTGCATGCGTTCAATTATTTGCTCTCCTAGAATGGGGTTGTTGATGAAAAAATACCGATGACCTGATTTCTCCAACACGAATAATTATTCTGTATGTGAAATTCTACGACTTCGGGCGTTCTTTCCAGCAATTATTTCTTCAATTTCCGACTATTTCATCAACAACCCTACGAAAGCACTCGATCAAACGAACGCACTGTATATGAAATCTATATCTGTGATGAATTTTTGAATCCATCTCTCCATTGATATTCCAAAAAATCGAATGATTTATCGAATGTTTCAATCAAATAAAATGTCGCGGACATTATAGCTCCTCATTAATGTGGAAAATTTTAAATAAAAATCGATATGTTCCAGAAAATTCCTTAAAAATGAATTGTTTGGCTGAAAATGCATTTATTCACTAATTTACGAGAGCTTTCAATCCAACGGATATACTGTATACAAACCCAATATGTGAAATGTTCTCGAATTGAGATTTTCATTAGGCTTTCAAAAATGTTATGATATATAGAGAATATTTCCGCGGATGTGAATAGTTTGGTTCAAAAAGAATTCATTCAGTATTTTGCGAAAGCACTCTACTCATATATATAGTCTATTGCAAAAATATACCGACACACCTCAAGATGTGATAGCAAGAAAATAAAGAAGCATTTTTGTACAAGTTCCGCGAACGAGCCTTTTGAGCTGTGAAAAACTAGCTTTTTAGAGCATAATACTATTTGAATCAATTATACGCAAATAATTGAAGAAATTATTCCCATTGAGTTTGCCACGAGCAGCAACAACATTTTTTTGTTTATCATAAACAATTCAGAGAAGTCCACCTTGGGATCATCGTGAAATTGTTTTCATTTGTGATTAGTTGCCGTTATCCATCAATTTTAAATGTCAATGATCCGACGGTGAAATATTTGGTGAACATTTCGGATGATTATCTCAAACAAAAATTGATCGTTAATGGAGCCAAATTAATAGGCGAACACAGTGATTCAACTATTGCGCAGTATTATAAAGAGTGCCAAACAGTGTTTTTGCTCCACAGCCCAAACGGCTCATCTGCGAACATATTATGTTCATAAAAACAAAAATGCCTGCTATGCTGTCCCCTGTCACCCCAAAAAGTTTGATGATATCTTTTGGGGACAGCTTTTACAGGGTGATTCACCTGAAATGTCTTCCTCTCTAGCTCACTTATTCTTGAACCGATTTAAAAATTTGAAGAATAATCTAGAATGATTTTTCAAAAAAAAATTTCCGGTGCATCGGAAAATACAGGGTGCTCGGAACAAACGATCTACAGAGTACTACTTGATTTTTTCAAATGGAACACCCTGTATTTCATTGTATTTTTAGATTCTTCCTGAAGAGCTAATTTCATCAATACATTACACTTGAGGTATAGCGAGAATGATTACAGAGATATAGGGTGTACAAAATCGAGATTTTTCAAATTTAGGATCTTTTTGTGTCGAAACTATTCATTATTGGTCAAAATGGCTTCTATGTCCCCATCTCAACTTTTGATTTACTATCTACTGACATTTAATTGGAACATTACAGGGTGGTTCAAGATTCAGAATTCTGATCACCCTGTATCTGTTACAATAATTATTAAATGTCAGTAGATAGTAATTCTACGATTGAGATACGGACATGAGAGTCGTTTTGACCGATAATGAATAGTTTCGTCACAAAAAAACCCTAAAGTTGAAAACTCTCGATTTTGAACACCCTATATCTCTGTAATCATTGCCGCTAGAACCCAAGTGTGAGCATTGATCAAATCAGCTCTTCAGGGAGAATCTGAAGATACAATGAAAAATAAGGTGTTTCATTTAAAAAAATCGAATAGTACCCTGTAGATCGTTTGTTCCGAGCACCCTGTATTTTCTGATGTAGCGGAAAAAAAACTTTATCGAAAATCATTTATGATATTTCAAATTTTTAGATCGGTTCAAAAACAACTAAGCTAGAGGGGGGGACATTTATGGTGAATCACTCTGTATATAGAAATTTTGAAAAAAAAAACATTATAACATTTTTACTTTCACTGGTGAAAGTGCACAAGGCTTACTACTGGGGCCGGATCTTGAATGCCCAATGAATCACATTGAAGATATCTATCATGGATGAATATTGATTTGTATCACTATGGACCCTCACCATTTCTGTTTCTCTTTCAGTGTATTATACCCATTCGACAAACCGAAATGATTCGAAAAATCTTGATTCTCATTGAATTTTATTTGTTACATCCATTATGAACTGTCGTGACTGTGGGATCAATAGAAAATTAGGTGTTTTTCAGATTGTTTTTGTTCAGATATGCTCGCAAATGATTGGACCTCTGAGCTTCTGATGAAACGGCCAGAACTGTAGAGGGACACGATATGTCCGTCTGAACTTCATACACAGGAATCTGTTTTCAGAAAATCACAACTTGTTCACCTTCGAAATATAATATCTTACTATTATATTTTGTAATATCAATGATCAAATTTCATTCAGACAAAAAATCTTCACTATCTCATGGATGATTTTGGTATCTTGAAATGATGAGAGCAAGATCTTTCAAACATAACCTATTAGTTATATTGAAAGAAGACATATTTCTTCAGAACAATGCAAATGAAAAGTCGAGATCAAAATATCACTGTTAATCAGACGATTAGG